TCCATCCAAGTGGGGCTGGTGCTTGGGCCTGGCAGCAAGGCGGCCCCGGGCCGCTGGCTCCGCGGAAGGCGCTGCCAGGCGTGCTGGGGCAAGGGCCTCGCGCCCTTCCCAGCCCTTCGGCACGGCGCGCAAGTGAGCCGAGAGGGAAACCACGCGCAGGGCCACTGCGGAGATGGCGCTCCTTGATAAGCATGGACCTGGTCATTCTGGAACACCACGTAAAATGTGGGTTTTTTCTAGTGAATTTTAAGACTCCTTTAAATTTTGCTCCTGGTAAGTATGAACGTGATGATGACATTTTCCACATACAGGGTTACGCTTACACTCGTTTCCTTTTTATTATTTCAAGTTTCCCATCCTGTTGTCTATTGCTGTTGATAGAAACATGGTAGGCCAGACACTAATGTTTAATTAAAACTTCTAATTGTTGCAATACGCCTCTGTGAGTAAACTGCCTAGCTGTTGTTAGGCTCCTTACCATCTTTCCAAACATGGAAAGTATCACCACCTCTCCAGCAGTGAATAGCAACATACCAAAATACATCAGCTGCACGGGCTCGAAGGATGCTCTACTGATGTTGCAGCCAAGTTTGTGGTTTGGTGTTATGTTCATCCGTTTTAGCTAAATGCAGCAGTCAGCATTAGTTCCAGTGCTCTTCTCCATCTAAACTGTGGGATCACTGTGTGGTGTAAGGTAGCTGTGACGTTTGATCCCAGAAGTAAAGACATTTTATTGCTTGGTTTGAGATTCTTCAGGAGAAAACATACATATCTATGCGTACATTGCTGTTGTTGCATATTTATAAGTTTATTTTCAGATAAATTCAGATGCAATTAATGGATAGGGATCATTTTAATTTATGTCCATAAGTATTAGAATATCCACTAATATGTCTGAATATCAACTCTTGTCATTTGGGCTGAGTGTTGGGCTTCAGAGAATAAGGACCTCTCAAATCAAAAAGAATTTTAGGGTGAAATTCGCATTTTGGTTTTCTACTGTGCTAAAACTTAATAAACTTCTTATGTTAATGAATCACAGGATCACAGAATCATAGGATGCTTAAGGTTGGAAGGGACCTCTAGAGATCAGCTAGTCCAACCCCCCTGCTCCAGCAGGGACACTTAGAACATGTGGCACAAGGTGGCATCCAGGCGGGTTTGGAAGATCTCCAGAGAAGGAGACTCCACAACCTCTCTGGGCAGCCTGTTCCAGGGCTCTGTCACCCTCACAGGAAAGAAGTTCTTCCTCATACGGAGATGGAACCTCCTGTGTCTTAATTTGTACCATGAAACCTCTGTAGTTCTGCTTTGAGCAAAAACAAATAATTTAGGTGTGGACAAGCAACATCATCACTTTGTACTTTAGCTGGAAAAGGTTGGTCAGAAAGTTTCATGTCCAGAAATAGTGGCCTCTTGGAGCACTGTCTTATCAGCTGACTGAACCATCAGCATGAAATGTAACAACTACATGTTTTAACCTGCAGCATGTTTACACTCTTAATATCACATAAGTGCATGATGTACTTACAGGAAAAGGCAAAGTCTATTTTAAACACTGAAGCCTACATTGCACATTGTGACTGGTGCTAATTTGCTTGAACTTATATGGTAAACTGCAAACTGTTTTTGCTTAGAAAAGAAGGCTGTGGGATTTGGCATTTGCAAACAAATCTTTAGAATTGTTGTATTGTTGGAACAGATTAATCAGGTAAATTTTCAGTCAGAGAAAAGCAATCTCTTCTAGGTCATATAACTGTACATGCAGAAAACTGAAATCCAGCCCCAGCATAACTGAGTGACATTCTGTATGCTTAAGCTACAGGATCCAGCATTATGGCTTATGAAACACATGAGCTGCAACAACAATTTTTGTTGGTGCTATGTGACTGTTTTGAATACAAGAATCAGCTGATTTCAATTTTCATGCTGGCATCTCCAAGCATTTGTCTTCATTTGCTATTTAAAATTCAATAGGAAAACACAAGCAACTGTCTTAGAAGTTACAGCATTAGTTTACAAGCCTTTTAGACTAGCAAGGGGGACTTAAACAAAAGGTTCTTTCTGAATTCTTTCAATATTAATATGATAGCAAAAAGAGAACCCATTGTGTTCTCATTATAAATGACGTTTTGGTAACGTTAGGATCCTGTGTTTTTAACACTGTGTGTGCCAAATGAAAAAGATGAAATCAAAACATCAGAAATATACAACTGGTGATATATTTTACATATTATTTACTTGAATATGCTGTGCAAGGAGCTTAAGTGAGGGATAGTTAAGCTCAGATAGGCATGTCATCTGAAAGCACAGTTAAAAAGAAAAGCACTGAAAATGGAGCACAGAGTTACACAAGATTAAGCTAACTAATTTGCTGATTCAGTTTTGCCTTTGTTTTTCAGTTTTGTCATGCAAGATCAAGAGTCATGCAGACAACCGCGCAATGGCATTCCAGGCTCCCAGGAACAACAACAAGCAATGGGCTGTGCTGAAACCTCTGTAACCACCAAAAGAAAAACAGAGAAAAACGTTAACTAGCAGCAAGAGGCAAGAGAGGGGTACTGTTGTTGTAGGTGTGCTGAATTTCACAGTTTTATTGCATGCAGGTTCTTTATTAACGATGCTCATTCAAGAAACCTTACTCTAGATCATAGGAAAAGATTCAGAACTCTTAAAATATCTACAGAAAATAAAAATTTGGCAGTATATTCTTCTAGAATGACCATATTTTAGAGAGTTGAGAGAGGTCACTCTCTTATGAAAGCTGCTTGCAGAGAAAACAGGTTCTGGATTTTGGAGTTTGGCAAAATTAGTCCTTGCTTGCAGTGCGAGTGTGAGACAGCTTGTTGCTGAGACAGTCACACGAGGAACTAGAACTAGAACATGGCCATAGATGCCATGCCAGTGAGGATGGAGACTGACACAGTGGAAACTGTACACTGGTTATCCGTGCTCTCCCAATCCTGACCAAGCTCCTGGAGGTTTTTTGGAAAGAGCAGGACAGACACACTTGGCAGGGAAGGGGAGAGTAAAGTGTGGGTTAGCATGTGGGGAGGTCATGCCATCACAAAGTACAAGAGGAAGACAACTGGTGTGCATTTGTTCTCTGTGGCAAAAACAAGAGCAATGTAAGTCCTTTCAAAGACAAAAAATAGTAGTAGTTGAACATATTTTTAGCATGAAAAATAGCAATGACTAAAATCAGAGAATGATATTGCAAAAATGAACATGTTGCAGGGCAGCTGGCATAGCAGTCTCTCCAAAGAAAAAGAAAAAAAAAGAAATAATGCCTCAACCTGCACTGCAAACATTTCAATATTTTCAGTTTCCCTCTGTGAACGATATGGCTACATCCTTATCCAAGCACAAATCCTAGTTCTACCTAAGTTGCTAAATGTAAATTGGTGGCAGCATACAGCTTGTCTGCAATGAAACTGGAGATTCAGGCCAAAACAAGCCTGGGAAGCAGTTTGAGAAATAAATAAAGGCTCTGTAGACCTACGATCAGGGTCCTTGTGTTGCCACTTACTGCTGAGAGATGGCATTTGATCACTATGTGTATCATTTCTCTGTCTGTGGAATGCAGACAGTTACATTTATTCTTCTGAGTAAAAGCGCACTGGGCTTCCCAGCTGAGTAGTGCTGTATTAGAACTAAGTATTTTTATTGGATGTTTTATTATCATAGTTTCAAAAAATAGCTGAAGGATAAGAAGGGCTCTCAGTCCAAACAGTTTCATCAGCATTTTATTGGATAAACAAAAAGGATTGGCAGGCAAAGAAAAGGACTGCTTTCTACCATTTTTTGTAATATAAAGGAAAAAGATCTGTTTTTGTTGGGTTTTTTTTTGTTCCTCTGCCATGAATTTATTAACATCAGAGCAGTATCTAGTGGCAGAAAAGGGACTGTGACTCCACTGTGCTAAACAGATAAATAAAAGTCATTTGTGGTTTTACACACGCTTTTCTAAGACAGAGTCCTGCAAACATGCACATGTATGGGCCTACTGAGTTGCAGCTCAAAAGCTGGTTTATAGTGTTGACTGAACATACTGAGCTCTTCATTTCTTAATTTCCTAAATAGCATCTCGTTAGAGAAATGTTGGAAATAAATCTACATATGTTAGATATTATAAGAAAGGCCCTTGCAACCACTCAGCTTACTAGCACATCTGTGTTTCCTTTATATAAGCCTCTATTTTCAAGGGTTCGTAACATAAGTCAAAAATAATTATTGTCAACTTGAACTCAGCGTTGGAAATTTTCAGCTGCAGAGCAATGTCTTACTTTTTTAAGGAGATCAGTTTGTTTTGATGATGCATAAGCCCTGAAATAATTTAAGGCATACCTGTTTTAATACTCAAGGGCCTGCCATCAAACAAAATAGGCTTGATTTTAAAACTAAGTCGCTTGTCTCTTGTTTTAAAACTTGTCTCTTAATGTAGACATTTGATTGCCATAGTCATGGGGTTCTATTAAAACTGCAGAAGGCAGACAATCATCCAGGAGTTTTGGGGAACTGGTTTTGCCACAAGGATCTAGTCTCCACGGGGTTGGAGCTCACACTACGCTGAAGAGGGTGGAGAGGTTCAGAATTTCAGTGCAGAAGTCAGTCATTTCAGGCCTTTTTCCCAGTACTCATTTCTTTCTGCTTGTGCTCATCTTAGACCACTGAGAGATCTTTCTGCTTCCTAAGGTAGCCGGCCGGCCACTGACTGCAGTAAAGGGAATGAGGCTCACGGGATTGTCTGCCCATCTATCCTGCCCCAGCGCTGTTTTTAACCTATCACCAATCCCACCAAATTTGAAGAAAGGCAAGAAAGGTGCCAAATTTCTTCAGCTACTACCTCCTCCCTCTTTGGGAAGATAAAAATAAGCAGAGGAAAGTGATATTTTTTTGTCCCCATGGGCAGAAAAGATGCCACCTCATCTTGTTCTTTATCAGGATAAATATAGGAGGAAGGGCCTATAAATGTCCCAATCATGGGAAAAGTTTCAGTGACAATTTGCAGCTCCCCAGATAACACAGTCAAGACACAGATTCATAGGAAACCAGGTTTTGTTTATGCCAGTGATATCACTATCACTTGTTTGCTTGTTGGTGGAAGAGAATCTGCAGAAAACCTGCAAGAAAATCTAGGAGGACTATGACATGAAAAAATAAGCCCTGTTTCAAAACCAAATAGAAATATCCAGCTTAATAGCTTCATACTTTTCAAAGGATGATTATTTGACTTCTGATCTCATGCTTATTTAGACATCATGGGCTTAAAAAGGAAAAATATGCATAGCCACGTGACAAAGTAAATACGCCAAAGGAGGATATATTCAGTTTTCAGGAGATCAGCCCCAGTGATTGACCCTTTGGGCTCTGTGATCACCGCTGAGGGAAGACAGAAAGCTCAAAGTCGCACACTGCTGTGATCCTCAAGCAGAGAGCAGTGACCAGTGCCTCAGGTGCAAAGAAAACTTCAGCTTTAACTGTAAATGTTGTTGTTGCAGTGGGTTCGAGTCAGGCAGGCTAAACGTAGCCTCTTGTGGTTTAATGAAACACAGTAAAAACTTTAAAACAAGAGCACTCACCATTCAGAGGCTGAATAAACAAAAGCATATTTGGACAACTGTGCACTGTTCAGCATTTTACATCACACAAAGCACATCCCTCCTCTTTCAAGCCCCCGCACAAATCTTGCCATAGATTTTTCAGGCTCATCTCAGAGATTTGTGATTCTCAAAGTTAAAACAACATCAGTTACCAGATCTAGAGGAACTGAGAGGAGTTACAAAGTGTCCTTTTTTCCTCCTCATTGAACTTTGAAATCTATGAAAACAAAGCAGAATACTAGTGTTTGCTCCAGTACTTGCACAGGAAGCCAATATTTTGGAAAGGTTTACTGATGTATTGAATTTATTGATCCTTGCAAGGATAACTCAGTTAGGCCTTTCCTGAATGTCCAGAATGGCATTAAGCGCAGGAAATAAACACTGGCGGATATTGCAATGGGCAAAAACGATGTTTTTGGTGTTTCTTTTTTCACATTTTTTTCACAAATTTTAGTCTATATGCAAGGTTTGCTTTCTTATGCTATAAACCTGTTTTTTATATAGTTTTGTCTTCTTACCGATTCCATAATGAATCTCTTGAGGAAAAACTTGAGAGCCTGGAAGCTGAAGATCTCATGTCTCATCTGTCACAACCAGGAAACTACCTAGATAAGGAGAAAAAGTGATGTGAGTAAATAAAATTGACAAAATTTATGGGATTGGAAAGGTCGCTTATCATAACAGCCTGAAACAATGTCCACAGACTATAAATTCTTCAATTTGTCCTATATGTTACTTGTTTACTGCATTTGATACTGCGAGTTTCATTCTGCCAAACAGACCCATTAGAAATCTGCTGAGAATAACACCTTGTTAAAATTGCTACATGAGACTTTCTTTTAGCTGACTGGGAAAACTCTGTTCATAAAACTGAATGTGGCAACTATTCACTGAGCTGTATTATATGCAGAGCTGGTAACACTGCCTATTCAAGTTGTCTGACACTTCCCATTAGGAGCCCCTGTTTTCAGATATAACTTCAGTTTAAGCATTCAGGCTGAAAATTTCCACGTCAGATGTGCATCAAACTGATGTGCTTTGGAGGATGGAGACTTGAAAAATAGGACTTGAAAAATAAAGAGACTGAGAACAAGTGGCCAGATAGATAGAAACAAAATCCGTAGAAGAAGGGAGTAGTTTCAGGCGAGACGGTCATAGCAGGACATAGACAAGTAACAACCCTCCAAGTATGTGAAGTACCACTGTGCTTAGGCCAGGTGATCCATTTCCATTTGAGCTAGCCACTTAATTGCATGAGGAAAAGTGACAATTCCATCAGGAAATGTGTATCTATCTCCTCTTCTATGAGTCTTTTTTTTTTTTTTCCTTAACAGAGAAGTCTAGCTACTTCTGTTGACCTACTTCCCCAGAGACTGCTGCAGTTTGTTTATGGGTTTTGTCCTGTTTGTTTTATGTTTCCAAATTTGTCATGTGGGTCTGGAAGTCTGCCAGCCCTTAACATTAAAAATAACATAGAATAATCCCAGTCTCCAAAACATATGGCATTCAATTAAAATTGTGACATTTAAGTTTTTGGATGGGGTGTTACTGTCTTTCTTTTTTCCTTCTGTTTCTGAGCCTTTAGGATACTCTCAAGTGATGTTGTTAAGATCTCTTTTGTCATTAGGAGGATTAGAAATCTCTTTAACCAATGAAACAGCTTTCAGATTTTTATATACTGGATGTAAAGGAGGTGAGACTGGAGGTGTGCAACTTGTGAAGTGTATCCTTTGATATGAAGGCAACAATGCAAGAGGAGAAGTATTTACTTTCTACACTGAGTATAACACTTTAATATTATATTACGTGCAGGAAAGAAGTTTTAAAAGACAGTCTGGGCACTGTGTGCTTTTTATGGACCAAGAAAGGCCTCCATGAGCAGACAAGCAAATATCACAGTCTTACAAAAAAATCACAGTCACTTTCAACCCAGGATCTGCTCAACTCATGATATGTCAGCTTGCTGTTTAACATTACCGCATATCTGTTCCTTCTAGTGATATCCATCTCCTTAGGAACCAGTTGCCTTCATGATTATATGTTTATGTGATTCAAATCAAAACAATGTTAGTTAAAAGAAGAAAAACTAAAATGGCTCATTGCTTTCTAAATCAAATACTGACCCAGGTTCACAAGTAACTGAAATTTACATTAGATTACATTTTGATTTGCATTGGATTCAACTCCCTGTCTTGGTGACCTTGGACAAGTTGGACAGGCGACAAATTCCTCAGTCCTTGAGCCCACTCATTTAGTGGGTCTTTCAGAGCTAAAAACAGCGTTGAGGAAACCCTAGGCCAGGGACCTTTGCAGAATTTAGGTTGTGTCAAGGTGGCCTCTTGCCTTTCTGTTTCTCACCTGCAAAAAAGTAAAAAACAGTGCCCCCCAACTTCCCTGGCAATGTGAGGATCACGGTATCAAATTTATGTAAAGAGCTCACACATGACACTATGAGTGGGAACGAGGTGAGAATAGGAATATAAAAACCCAGAATGGATAAAGAACAATGAAAACCCAGGGAAACATGATTGCTTTTTTTACCTAGAGACTCCTATACCTAAAAAGTGAAAGACTGGATGGGGTTTAAGTAAGATAAAGAAGCCTAACGAAGAAACAATGACCTTAGGAGACACATTAAAGCTGGGTATCAGTTCATCAGATGTATTAATACAACAAGACATTCTATTAGTTCTCAGACAGGGAAAGTATTTATTTTCATGCCTGATTGTAAAAACATGTAATCATATTGAATTAATTGATACTAAGTGTTTTACTAAACCTAGCTCTTAACTAATAAGTATAATGAGTTGAATTCCCATATTTTTAAGCTTTTGTAAATGGCAAAATGGCATAGAATGGCCATGAATTCTCAAAAAAGAATATAGGAATTGCCAAGTATATTGAATAATAGTCAAGAAGAAAAGTCTATGCAGGGATTTTGTAGAGGAGAGGAGATCAGGAAATGTTTTTGCACTCTGTAGTTACCCACCTTTGATATTGCCTATACTCTGTGTGAATTCATGCATAAGTCATTTAATGGCCTATTTTGGTTTGCTTTTTCTTTTGGAGTTCTTTTTTTCCTCGCTTTTATATGTAATACACAACCTGAGCAATAACAATATAAGTACAGATTTTGCATTTCTAATGAATATTTTAGGACAAATATTAACTGGCTGTTTTCATGAGTGTTTGAACTGGAGTTAACCTAACTAGAAAAACTCAAACAAGCAGAAGTTAATACTGTTTCTACAGTCACTGATGTAGCAATAATAGTAGTTGTGCACCACATGCTGAAAATCAACTCCCTTTATGTCCAAACAATAGCGTGAATCACAGAATTCTGACCTTGATACACAAATGTGATCATGTAGTAATTATAGCTCTTGTGCTTTCTGTATAAACAGACTATTGCTGCTCTAAATGCTGTAGGGTACTACTTCATTCTGCAATTTACAGCAAATGACTGAGCTTTTATCTTTCAAGAAGTTTTAACATAATATAGGTAGAAGAAAATCTTATTTCCTGCAAATAAAGAAATTAGGCTGTTTATTTGAACTATAGGGAATATACTTATGGTTGTTTCTAAATTCTACTAAAAGCATAGCTTAAAAATTTAAATATTATCTTCAAAATCATTTTTTTCAAATGTCTTCAAAGCTATTTTCATGACCAAAACATAGGACTGAGTTTCTCAGTCCATGTCATAACTGACATGTTCTTGAACTATGTTGAGATTAAAGACAATATATTTAATTTTATGCCAAAATCTGTTGTAGCTTTGTTTTGTTTGTGTCTCTTTTGGTTTTGTCCAAACAGGATGTAACAAACATATGTTCTTCAGCTTCGCCCTAATCCATGACTTGGATAGCACTATCAGGATGTGTTCTATCATACTAGAGCGAAACAGATCTGAAGATACTTGTGTGTGTGGACAAGTCACCTCAGACCTGATTTTAATAAATCCTAGGTAACAAGAGCTCCCCCATGACCTCATATGTTAGTTGTTCTCTCAGCACCATCAAAGGACTGGTATGCACATGGGCACTAGTTGAATACCTAAAGAAGGAAGAAAGTCATCATTGAATTCTACTAATGAGAACATTGCATAGATTTCATTGCTAAATAGTCCGTTTTACCCCAGATGTCCAGGCATTGCTGCCAAGACAAGAGGATTGAATGGGTTTTCAGGTGTTAGTATGCTTGACCTTAAGGAATCCAAAAGCAAAATGGGTTGCGAAGTCACTGCCTGACCTGAGAGCTCAAGGCAAGGGAGGACAGCACTCATCAAAAGGCACGTCTGGTTGGTGGCCACCAGGACCAGATTCCATGCTCCGATGTGAATAACTTTCAATTTCATCTCATCCTGCGTGAGTTTACATAACTTGCTGGATGCTCAGATGTCGCAGGCTGGCCAGCTGCTCTCTTCAGATTTTACAACTGCCTCGTTCAATTTCTACTTCTGTTTCCTCACAAATTGCTGATTAAAGTGTTGAATGGCACAGAGCCCAGAAGTGACCCAGGAGATATTACTGATATTCTTATGATGATAAGTCCCATTTATAGCAGTTTTTAAGAAATGTCAATTGCTCCATTTGTAATCTATGAAATAATTACATTGGTGATTTTAGATAACTCCATTTTCTTAATCAAAATGCTGTTTGGTGCCAGAAGTTCTTCTATGAACTTTCATTCGTTCATATATTTTACACCAATAGTATTGATTAAAAAACAAAAGAAAGGAAAAAAGACCCCAATAAATATCAAGAGAGTTTGCTTGAACCAAAATCTATTTTCCTTAATCCCATGGTGAATGGTCTGACTTACTTCACTTTTCTCTAATTCTTTATGAATAGTGGCTGGAATTAGCTATTCCAGTACTTTGTGCTGGATTGATGTCAACTTGAGAGGACTATTAATCCTCAAGTCATTCCATCAAACTTTTAAACTTTTTGGCAATGTATTACCTTTCTTCCATTCATCTAAATTAGCTTTAAAAAATCAGATAGTTCCTTGGACAGTGTTCTGACAAATAACAACCAATTAAAAATGAATCTAGCTTTAAGAGATGGCATTACAGTTAGAATGGAAATAGTTCTCTGCTCTCGTCTTGTGATACCGTATTTCGGCTCTGCAAAGCACTGTAGAATACCTGGGCTGGACAGTCGAAATCTAGTTTTGGATTTTTTTCAATATGTTTGCTTCAAAACATGCTAAGACTTAACAGCTGTGCAGTATATTACCGCCGTACAGTGCTGTAACACACCTCTATAGAAGGTCAGGCAGTTAAACTGTACTTGTTTTGGTAGTCTTGCACAAAGGTGAATTTTCTTTAAGACTCAAATATATTGAAGAGATTACTGGAAATATTTAGACTGAGGAACTCCCCGGTGTGTGAGGATTGTCTTTTCTAAGAGTTTCGGTATGATGGTAGTGTGACTTACAATCTCCTTGGATCTACTTAAGAGTGACCCTTTTAACACTTCTTACAATATCCATCAGCTGTTTCTCTGGATCAGGGAAGAGTTTTCATTTTGCTGGAGGCAGCAGCAGCTAATCAGGTTGTCTGTTCCCTGCTTTAGAGCTCTGAAAAGCTGTCATTGATCTT